GTAGTCCCAGCTACTCGGGAGGCTGAGGCAGGAGAATGGCGTAAACCCGGGAGGCGGAGCTTGCAGTGAGCTGAGATCCGGCCACTGCACTCCAACCCGGGCGACAGAGCGAGACTCCATCTCAATAAATAAATAAAACTCTACAAGACATCGTTATTGTTGTTTCAAATAGTAGTTATTGATCCAGGCATGGTGGCTCACGCCTGTAATCTCAGCACTCTGGGAGGCTGAGGCAGGAGAATCACCTGAATCCGGGGGGTGGAGGTTGCAGTGAGCCGAGATCGCACCACTGTACTCCAGCCTGGGCAATAGAGCGAGAACCTCCATCTCAAAAAAAAAAAGAAAAAGAAAAAAGTATTTATATTGATTCTTTGTGGCTTCTTGTTTTTTTTGTCATGGGGTCTTGTTTTCTAGTGTGCCTGGTATTTTGCAGATGTCATGTTTGAGAAATCGTAGAAGTTCTGGGTGACGTTGTCATCCATCCATCATACAGGGGATAGGCAGAAGGCCTGTGTCCCATTGAGGCAGCTGTGTTTCCAGTTGGCCTTGTTCCCAGGGTACAGCCCTTCTGGGGTCTCAGCTGGGCAGTGACACCCTCAGATGGTGGAATCTTCTGCTTGGCGTTCGTCTTGCTCCTTTCTGCATAGCTCGTAGCTGGCAAGTGCTTTGGGGGAGATTTTTGCACACAGAATGTGGAGTGACATGCTTCTCTGAGGTTTCCTTCTCTCCCTCGAGTTCTGGCTGCTGGGGCGCCCTCATTCTTCCTTGTCGGTGCCCAGCCCTGTGAGTGTGCCCAGGCTCTAGGCTGTTGCGTTCTCTTGTCACGTCTGCTCAGTCCCAGTCATCGATGAGGCTCCAAGGACAGCAGGCTTAACCTCGCTGTGACTGAGGGCTCTTCTCTGTCCTCTGGGATCCGGACCTCGCAAGTCTGAGCTGACAAAGTTGTTTACCAGTGTCTTCGGTTGGGTGTTTTTATTGTTTTTATCCAGCTTTTACCATTGTTTTAAATGGGAAGACCAGTTTGATACCAGCTGTTAAGCCATAGCTTGAGGAGGAAGTTTCTTGGCGAGTTTTAGGAACTTCAGATGGCATGAGAGGCTCAGCCTCTGCCCATCAGATGTCACATGTCCTGCTATGCCAGGTCCCATGTTTTAGGCCACTGGGCTTTCTTAGAAAAAAAGTCTGTTCTGTGAGTTAGCAGGAGAAAGAAGGAAGGAAAGAAGGGAGGGAGGGAAGGAGGAAGAAAGGAAAGAAAGAAAGAAAGAGAAAGAAAGAGTCATAGTTAGAATTTCCGCACTCCAGTATTATTTTATTTTATTTTATTTATTTATTTTTTTTTTTAGGCGGAGTCTCTCTCTGTCGCCCAGGCTGGAGTGCAGTGGCGTGATCTCAGCTCACTGCAAGCTCCGCCTCCCGGGTTCACGCCATTCTCCTGCCTCAGCCTCCCGAGTAGCTGGGACTACAGGTGCCCGCCACCTCGCCCGGCTAGTTTTTTGTATTTTTTAGTAGAGACGGGGTTTCACCGTGTTAGCCAGGATGGTCTCGATCTCCTGACCTCCTGATCCACCCGTCTCGGCCTCCCAAAGTGCTGGGATTACAGGCTTGAGCCACTGTGCCCGGCCTAGTATTATTTTAAAATAATTCCTCCCTCATTTTTTCTAATACTTTAATGACTTCTTTTTTTTTATTTAAATCTTTGGTCCACCTGTATTTTATTTTGGTGTAAGAAACAAAGTATGTATCCTGAGTTTGTTTCTAGGTGGTTCCGTAGTCGTCAGACATGATTTATTGAATAATCATCACTGATGGGAAATGGTGTCACTATTGTAGGTTAAATTCTTGTGTGTATTCAGGCCTCACTTGGGACCTGTGTTTTACTTTATTGGCTGGTCTGTCCTTCCATACCGTGTTAGTTGTGTGTTAGTTGCGTGTTCGTTGCACACCCTGGTGACACTCACCGAGCTGTGACTCGTGGCTCTTGGAACATTTTAATTCTCGTCCCGCCTCTTGGCTGTGAATAATACATTTTCTCCATAGTCTTCTTTGTTTTATTTTCTGTATGAATGTTGGAATCAGCCGATCTGACTCTAACAAAAAATTCGTCCTGCTTTTTATCTTTCAGTCTAACTGGGCTTTTTGAAACTATAGATTAACTTGGGAATTGCTGTCTTTACACTGCAGCGGACATGCAGGCGTCCGCGTGACTCCCCTGCCCAGCAGGAGGGCACCGTGTTTGGCTTCTCCAGACCTCACGAGGTCCTTCGTCCCCGTCTGTTTCTCAGGCCGCTGTTGGCTGCACTGCACGCTATCCTGGATCTCTTTTCCCCCTGGATTTTCTAAGTGGCTGTTCGTGTAAAGGGAAGCCAGAGATTTCATAGGTGACATTTTCACCTGTTCACCTTACTGTACTCCTGCTGGATCTCTTGGCTTTTCACCTGCAGCTAATGATGATGTCACCTCCCTCTTTCCAGTTGCCGCAGCACTTCCTCCTCTCTTGCCCGTGTGTGGCGTCACGCGCCTGTGGCCACGGCGCTGCTGGTGTAAGTGGCTGGCGCGTCACTGACTCACTAGTGTTTAACCGTTAACCCAGTGTCGGCTTTTGACTTGATGTGTAGACGTGTAGACAAACGCGGAGAATCGAGTGAAAGAAGCATCTCCCTGTGCCTGCTTTGCCATGTTTTTTAGAAGCTAGAAAGCACGTTGAGTCGCGTTCGCCACGGTTTGGCTGCGTGTGGAGGAGACGGACAGGTTTCTTTCTCCCTCTGACTTGGGTCTGGTGTGTCCTGTTCCCAGCGCTCCTGTGGCTCTGCAGTAGGTCGTGGAGCCAGCAGACGACGTGTGCCATCCGCTCAGCATGCCCTGTTTCCTTAGGTATGGAGATGTCAACACCACAAGGCCGTACCCGGGGCCTGTGGCGCAACATCTCGGCATGGCCACTGTCCCAGGGGCTCCGGCCGCGCCATGGAGGGGCACAAGCCTGGGTCTGCGTCTCGGCCCGTCTGAGTACTCTCGGCGATGTGGTGCCTGTACCCGGCCCAGGGACCTCAGGAAGAGCCAAAACTGGTGCTATGCTGGGATGGACAGGGAAGTGGGGATACCTGTATGGTGGGTGAATCAAGGCAGTGCTGGAGAAAGACGTGAAAAGAAGGAATGTTCCAGCTCATCCTCACATCAACCGGGGGCAGGAAGATAGGTCAGCCCTGAGGGAATCGAAAAGATATGTCCGTCACCACGTGTTTTGTTCTTTGTTTGTTTTTTGAGACGAAGTCTTGCTCTGTCCCCCAGGCTGGAGTGCAGTGGTGTGATCTCGGCTCACTGCAAGCTCCGCCTCCCGGGTTCAAGCGATTCTCCTGCCTCAGCCTCCTCAGGAGCTGGGATTACAGGCGTGCGCCACCACACCCGGCTAATTTTTGTATTTTCAGTAGAGACGGGGTTTCACCGTGTTGGCCAGGCTGGTCTTGAACACTCCTGACCTCAGGTGATCCACTTGCCTCGGCTTCCCAAAGTGCTGGGATTACAGGCGTGAGCCACCACGCCCGCCCTGTTTGGTTCTTTATTTTGAAAGTCAGAAAAGTCAAGGGTCTCTCCAATCCTGAGTGAGGCTGGGGCTTTGGTCCTGCTGCCTGGGAACCATGAGGGGGTGGAGCAGCAGGCGGCTTAGAAGGTGCCTGAGGGCCGTGCCTGAGGGCCACGCCGAGGGTGGATCCCTGGGGCACGGGAGGCCGCCTCACAGGGGTGCACCCAGAGGGCAGTAGTCCCCAAAAGGCCTGAAAGCGGGCCCCTGCTCCTGGAAGATGTAATGAAATGAACACTGTGACTCGCAGACCTGAGCCACCAGCGGGGCGTCTGCATGTAACCAGGGAGGATCCCCAAGGCCTGCTGAGGCTTGGGGCCTTGCTGGGTGGGTGCCTGGATGCTAACCGGGCTGCCCTGAGACCCAGATTGAGGCGCGTGGTGCACAGCAACCAGAGCCCCCGCCTCCAGCTGTGCTTTTCGTGACGGAAGTGCGGAGTGTGGACTCGCGCTCTGTCTACACATGTGGAGCGAAAGTGAGCGTTTTCTCCCCTGCCCCTGGTGCTTCTCTCTGTGTTTGACTCAGCGATGCCTTGTGTGTCTGGAGGCCCTGATCACTTCTGCAGGGGAGGGTGCTATGATCCGGGCAGTGTGTGGCCCCTGGTCAGGCCCCTGGATTTCCAAGCTCAGGTGAGACGTCTGGAGTGGGCTTGCATTCCTCCTGCCGGCCGGCTCTGCGGCTGTGTTGATCTGATCGCTGCAGAAATGAAAGTCTCGGGGTGCTCTGAAACCAGGCGTCTGGCACACTGGTCCTGTTGAACGACCGTGTGCTCAAAGGAAGTTCTTCGGCTCTGCGGGAAGCTGTGCTGGAAGGCACAGGACTGGAGGCTGGGCTGGGGCTCCATGGGCTTCCCCCTGCCACTGAGCCTGGGCAGCCGCTGCACTCCCCACAGGCCCCCCGAGTTCCCAGCCGTCCCGTCTGTGCCCAGTTAGAGGTGAGGGTGTGCTGCCCTGCGGGGCAGGGTTCCTACACTGAGGGGCTTCCCAGGGCTTCCAGACAACATGGTCTCCTGTCCAGGCACTTCCTGGTGGGTCGGGTTAAATTTCCATCCAGACCCTTTACCCCAGGTGGCCGGAGCCTGGTGTCTGCCCTGTGCTGGCTGGCAGAGGCCTCGATGGGAGAGCAGGCCCTGGAGACAGAGGTCCAGGGGCAGCTCTGGTGTAAGAGAGGTCACAAGGGCTGTAACGGGTCCCCAAGGCCAGCCTCTGATGGCCTTTCCTTCTGGCATCAGGCCTCTAAGCCATGACCACCCATGTCACCCACTAACAGCTGCTGCCGGGCAGGCCTTTCCACACGTGCTCCCTACACAGATCGCATAGCCTCGGGAGATTTCAGGTTTCTTCCTCTTTTTATTATCCTAAGACTGCTTTGGTCGCCTTCTGGACACCACCACTGCCCTGGGACTCTTCCCTTCGCCGCAAGGAAGATGTAACGTGGCTGAAGGGGCCTGTACAAATGCAGAACATTTGGGGCCAGGGTGAGGCAGACTCTGTGGGCCGCCGAGCCTGCAGGCCTTGCCCGGACCTCCGGAACATACATCAGACAGTGGCCCCACGTGCACCTGGGGCAGGCCTGCCGTCACCACATGCTCTGGCCAGCTGTCATTACTGCCAGAGGGGCCTTGGGCTCCCTGGGCATCCTACAAGCCCCGAGGCACACGGCGGCCGGGCTCTCTTCAGCGGAGCCCACTGACCTCAGAGCCTCAGCAGCACCTGGTGTCCGGAGACACCAACACTAGCCCCGTGTTTCCAGGTGGCAGAGAGGGAAGTGGAGGAAGCAGGCTCTCCGCCGGCTTTTCTTTTTCAGTCGCCGCCAGCTTCAGAGAGTGCGGGTCCTTCCCGCCATGGAGCCCTCTTCTCTAATTGTGTTGGACCAGGGAGGTCTCACCAGTTCTTCTGAACGGATTCTGTCCCTCCCGCTTCGGCCTGAATGGCTGGCATAGCTCTGACAGGGTTGGCCCATGACCCCAGCTGGCGGGGAGGGCATGTCATCCACAGGCTGGATGCCAGGAGTCCCACCATGCTCTGAGAGCAGCGCATCAGGGCTCAGCCCTCTCCCAGCGGTCAGGAGCTTCGCCGGCATGCGGGCCCAAGTCTCCCCGGGAGTGGCCACCTGTCCTCAGGCAGGGCCGACTGCACGCCTGTCCCACCCTCGGGGGACTTTGTCATGTCCACTCTCCTCGTGCCTCACCCCGTCCCGGAGCCTCTCTGCCAGGCCAGTTTTATGCTCGGCAGGAGCGGGGGCCACAGCTGTGACTCCCGCCCCTGGGGTCTTTGTCTCCGCAGGTGGTGCTGTGGGTCGGCCTGGGCATCCTGGTGGTGAGCACTGTCACCACACTGTCTGTGGGCGAGGAGGTCCCCGAGGACTTGGCAGAGGAACCCCCCGGTGGCCGACTTGGAGAGGCCGAGGGTTTGGTGAAGGCAGAGGCAGCGCGACTCTCAGGTATGCCCACCCTGGCCCTTTGAGCCTTCTCAGGGCAGGTGCCCACTGGGCATCTCCTGAGTCTGGTCCAAGGATTGTGCTTATCTGCTCAGTGGCCTCTGTCCTATGTGGGTGCAGCCAGCGGGGTGGGGCCACCGCCTTGCCCATGAAGATGCTCTGTGCACCATGGCTGGCCGTGGGGTGACCGCCTGTATGCAGGGAACGTGGGACAGGAGTGGCCGTCTGTATGCGGGCAACGTGGGACAGGAGTGGCCGCCTGT